GCAAGGATAGAATTGATCCAATCAATTAATATTTGTAAAGCCCATTTTAATCCATAATATTACTGATTAATATTATCTAGGTATATGGGCTGAATAGCAGTTGGCAGTTCGGCCCATATAGCTTTTCTGTAGTTGGTGGGCTTTAGCGGTTTTAACTCTTTAAAACTGGGCCTTACAGGTGTGAGCCGAATTAAATCTCATAATTAACCATTAATCCCTTGACCCAAGAGTGGGAAATTAGGGCTGAGAACAGCCCCCATTGAACCACAGATTCGGTCCAACCAGTTTGGACCAATTTGGTTCGAATGGGTCTAGGGTTTCATTTTTAATTAAATATTTAATTCAAGAAACGCTCTGAAATTAAATTTATTGATCAAAGACAATCAGAAATTAGTAACAGGGTTGTTCGCACATCTCAAACCTGCAAAACATATGTTAGATCACAGTTTACAGTTTCATAAACTGCAAATCATAGATAGCAATTTCTCCATCTGCGAAATCTCCTTCTCCAGCGCAATCAGCTTCGATCTTGGAATAAATAGAAAAAACCCTAATTTTCTATTAATATTACATCAGATCGAATACCTATACATTTAGTCTACAAAATTAAAAAAAAATTAATTACAGACCAGAATGAATAGAACTACGAAATCGCAGATTTCCTACGCCATTAAAGATTTCGATCTCCTTTGTACGAACATCCCATAAATCAAGAAAATCATAAAGAACAATTCTAAATAAATTTCGGATTTATAAAAATAAAATTCAGATCATTCGCCCTTTAATTGGGAACCAATTTTTCTAGAAAAACCCTAATCTGCGCAAATCGGGTAGGACGCCTTCTGCCCATTTGCGTAGATTCAGATCTAGTCTATTTCGGTTCAAGATTTGAATATGGCTCTAATACCACTGAAGGGATGAGAGATCCACCATATGGATGGCCGAACCCTGCAGGTAGGTTGGGCGAAATTTCAAAAATTTCTCTCTCTCCCATCTAGGAATCTGATGAGAATAAAATTTGTCATATCTTTATCCCTCAATATTCAGTATTTTACACTTAATTGGTACCTAATTGGAATCATTACTCTTGTATTTCGATTCAGGGCAAGCAAGAAGGCGATTGGAAGAAAACAAGGCTCATCGGATGATTTTACACAGTTTCGGCACCGACCAGTTATCTGGGCATAACTCTCAATTCCGGGCTCCGATTTGGACAATTCAAGAAGCACTGGAAAGATAAGGAAAAGTCCCACAACTTTTATGTTTTGGGTTTTGGCAGAATCGGTTTGAATCGAAGAATAATTCGGGCCCAAAGTCGGAGAAATTTCGTAGCAAGCCCCATTTCACAGCTAAAGCCCATTTCGCAGAAGAGCCTTGAAGCAGCCCGAATTGTTAAAGAAGCCCAGCTCGAATTCAAGAACCAAGTGTCCCATTAGAATAGAAGTTGAATGTAATCTCAAGAATGAGAGTTTTATCAAATTTAAATTTTCAAATTGTAATCCTAGAAAGATAAGAGATTGAGATAAGAGTTAGGATAGGATAAGTTCAGATTAGACTAGGACTTTCCAGTTTTGAGGATAATCTCCTAAAGGGAGTTGGAGAACAGCCCTTTCCCCAAACCTATATAA